GTGGAGTGAGTTTACGTCCGGAGTTTTTAGTGCTCGAGGGATCCATCATCATTAATTTCTTTGTTTTGGTAGATAACCGACTGCATAGCTTAGGTGTGGAAACATGCGGACATTTATAAGACAAAGCTAGCGGGTGGTACTGCCTCGGTCGACTGGTCCTTGTCTACCACCTTCTTTTTACGTGTTAGTGATGTTAGATAGACCCTAAGTGGCCCGTTGGCGGACTTGTACCGCCACCCGGCAATCGGTACTGAGGTATTCCTTAACGCGTGCACAATCACTTGGACGGGAAGAAGTTTGTATACTGGATACAACAACTGCCGGAACAAGCATTTGCCACGGCCCTCGCTCAGTAGGGGGTTTGTATTCCATTTTTATTTCCTGTCATTACAAACTATTGATGGTAAGATTAGATAATTCGGGGCGCTGAATGCAGATATAAACATTTAAGAATGGAGTCAAGTAGGCTGACACTACACATCCTACGCAACGCTGCCATAGGTCATGAAGGATTATGTTTGGCATTTAGCCCATCTGAGCAACGAACATGTATACAAAAAATTAAATGGATCAGGACATTCAAATATACACATAAAAATAGTGCACCGACAATGTGTAATTATGTGTAAAATACCAGGACACCGCGGCAGCTAAAAGGACCTGAACGAAACTTTGCTAATTTTGTAAATCCGATTTTTAAACTGCCTAGAGACAAATGAGCGGTCGTATCGCCCGGTTCTGGATGTGCGAAGTTCGACACGGTTAGAATGGAAGGTCGAAGTCAGGCGGGTCTGTCTGGCAGGCAAATCGCACGGTGACATCATAAAGGAGTGCTCTGAGGAGCAAATCCCGTTAGCGTAGCGGTAGAAGAGTGATAGATTCGCTGCTAACCTTTTTTTCAACAGTTGCACCGGCAGAGATCGGTTTGTCACTCTGCATGTAGAGTGATGTCATCAGCAAAGATGTGGATCGGATTAATCGTACAGGAAAGGAGGTCGTTGATATGTAAGAGGAACAATGTCGGAACTCAGGGGAACACTCGCGCTTACATTGTGGGATGAAGAAGTGAGAAGAGTTAGTCACTCACCCATCTGCAAAGCTCCTCTGGGAGGTCATAGAATGCAAGTTTGCATGTCAAAGCTGACTCAAGAGCAACTATATGAGCGTCACCATATGACTGGATGAGTTTACTCCACAGTTGCGTGACGTAAGCTAGGAGATCCCCCGTGGATCAATTGGTGCCGGAAACCATACTGCTTTTCGCTAATGAAGCTGTGATGTTCGATTTACACCAGAAGCTCCCGCTTTATGTACTTCTCCAGTATATTTTTACTTTCGCTCAACGAGTCCTAAGCGAAACGGCTGACAATACTGTTGAAAAGAAGGTATACTGTGACCCCTCAAAGCCCTGGATCAACTCTAACATATCGAGGATGCTTCGTCACAAGAGATCTTTGTGGCAACGGTTTAGGAGGAGTGGCCATTCACAAGATTACGTGTCTCATCGATCCTTTTCTAACCTCCTATCTAGAACGTTACATAATGCCAAACATGCTTATGAACGAAAACTTGTTACCTCCAAAAATAAGAAGAAGCTGTTTCGGTATCTAAGAACAAACCTGAATTCCAAAGTTTCATCACCTCAGATCCGCGACGCTGACGGTCATCTCCACATGGATGCCACCGAATCTGCCAACTTACTGGCAGAGTCCTTTAGTGATGACTTCGTCGATGAGCCTAATGGAGACCTTCTACCGACCACTATCTGCCATAGGTGTCCAACAGCCTTTGCGAAGTTGAGTTCCTGCCTGAAGATGTATTAATGCACCTGCGAAATCTGAAGACCTCTTGCTCCCCTGGTAAAGATGGGATGACGGCTGCTGTACTTAAAAACTGCGCTTCAGCACTGGCCCTACCATTAAGCTTGATATTCACATCGTCTTTTAGATCTTACCCTACCCTCATGCTGGCTTAGTGCTTCTGTTACCCCTGTATTCAAAAAGGGCGACAAATCCTCCGCTAAAAATTATCGACCAATAAGTCTCGTTCCTATCGCCGCCAAAATAGATGAAAGAATCATATTAGATAAGCTCCTGTCATTTGCTTTCGAAAATGACCTTATCCCTAAGAATCAGCATGGATTTCTCCCTGGTCGATCAATAATGACCAACCTTCTCCACTCTTTCAACGATTGGACTCAGTATCTGGACACAAAGACTCCTGTTGATATAATCTACTTAGATTTTTCTAGGGCTTTCGATCGCGTACCACATAGAAGGCTTCTGTTTAAGTTGGAATGTATGGGAATAAGAGGCGAGTTGTTACTGTGGATTAAGGCTTTTCTCACCGGTAGGACTTTCTCTATGCACGTCAGTGATAGTCAGTCTCACCTTCATCATGTAGCAAGTGGAGTTCCTCAAGGCTCTGTCTTGGGGCCAGTGCTGTTCCTTCTGTATACAAGTGACCTGCCCGCATTGATTTCCTCCACATGTTCAGCTTATGCCGACGACACCAAGATTTACAATACTGTCGTAAATTCTGCTATGCTTCAACGAGATCTTGATATTGTTTGTCAATGGTCAGTCAGTTGGCTTTTACCCTTAAATCTAACTAAGTGTTGTGTCCTTCACCTCGGGAAGACAAATCCGCGATTTACATACAAGATCTCTGACCACAACATCGAAGCAATTTCCACCCACACTGATCTGGGCGTTGTAGTCAACGATCGTCTTTCCTGATCAGAGCATATTCACCACGTTACATCAAAAGCCAAGAAACTTCTATACATGCTGGAGAGGTCTTTCAAAGGATCCGATGTCAACACTTGCGCCTACATTTACAAGGCATTCGTGAGGCCAATTCTTGAATTCGCTGGCCCGGTATGGGACACTGTGCTTCTGCGCGATAGAAATCTCGTCGAATCAGTACAGCGTCGGGCTACTCGTATCCCTTTTGGAGCACGAAGACCAAGCTATGAAGATCGCCTTGAATTATTCAACGTGACCTCATTCTCTGAGCGAAGACTTCGTGGCGATCTTATAGTTACGTTCAGGATACTTCATGGTTTGATGGGCACCAACCTCATGCATCTATACCTTCTGTCGCGCAGCAATCTACGCGGACACAGCTTCAAACTGCATAAGGAGCCATTTAAAACAACAGTCCGACAGTGGTTTCCTCCCAACCGCATATTCAACACCTGGAATAGTTTACCTGAAAGTGTGGTTGGTGCTACTTCAGTTAATAGCTTCAAAGTGCAGTATGATAACTGGAGGAGTGTACAAACTTTATAGCTATGAACTGTCTTTTTTTATTTTTTCTATTTGATGTATTTGTGTTACGTGTCCGTACACTATATTTACTGCATGAGCTTATAGTACTGTGTACTCTGCTCATCTCAATTATCATAATAATAATAATAATAATAATAATAATATTTCTTATTACAGAAGGCAGAGCATTATGCCTGACAACTTCCAGAGGTCTTCGGATCAAAACACAATACTTCCTACTCCCCGTAAAATGGACAGTGGAAATCTGTATGAGAGCCTATGAATATTCAGGACTAAATTCGGTCTAACCTGTAAAATTCACCTCAAAGCGCTAAAGACTATTTTGATTCGATCAGCAGCTTGCAAAACTCCCTTATTTGCATATTTGATTGTAGTTAGTCGCAACAACGGCAGTTTACGAACTCGGCCGCATTTCCACCGTCGAAGTGCTCGCGATAAAGTTGGGAGTTGATGGAATTTATTTGTTAACTACTCGTGTCATACAAGCTGAGTTTCAGTAAAACCGACATAAAGCGGCAGCATTTCGAAATTATTCGATTACAGGTGTATGTTAATTATTATATTTTAACCGTGGGTGTGAAAACTTTGGTCGAAAAATCTCCAACATAAAATGTCTATGTTTGAAATTTTGGGGATAATTTAATACTGATTATTAATGAGTGGACTACTTTTTTACATAGAGGAGCTGTCCAAAATACGCAAAGAAGTTGAAGGGCTTGATTAGTCGTGGTACACCTAGTTCTGTGCAGACGTGCTTCGTATAAAAGGCAATCTGACTATATGAATAATCGCAACTTCTCTCACACTCTTTCGGAGGCATTGAAGCACTGTGCACTGAAAGATATATTCAATCTTCAGTAAACTTGAAATTTTCTACACTAAAAGTGCGCGATCTAGATGGTCACATCTGCAGAGACGTTGAGTATTGGCAAATGCATTCGTTGAAGACTTTTCTTCGGAAAGTGCTGGTACATCTTCTAATACCTATCCTAGACTACAAGCCAGCCTGTGTCAAACTGAATTCACCCTTGACGTGATTAAAGATCATCTCATCAATCTGGATTGCTATACTGCACCAGGCGGTGACAATAATTCGGCAATGACCCGAAAAAAGTGTGCTTCTACTCTTACCTCACCTTTAAGTATGATATTTACCTCGTCGCTCCCTTCTCAATTTTCAAGAAAGGTGATAAGTACAAGGCAAAAACCTATCGTCCCATCAGTCTGACTCCCATAATTGCTAAAATAGCCGAAAAAGTCGTCCTTGGTGTGAAATGCCCAAGTTTGCTACCGAAAATAGTAGAGGAGAGGGTATAAATATGGACTACCATTTTATTAAACTGGCATATTTGACACATATTTGGTCTATATGGCTCAGCATTTTTTTGTCGGACAAGCTGAACCTAATCTAACATTATGCTGGTAGTTTTCATTTTTTTTACACAAACCTGTTTGGAATTTTTATATGTTTAAATAAAATTAACATCATACCAGATATTGAGATAGTGATACAAATATGGGCTACTAGAAAAAATACCTACAAAAAGTAACTTAGAGCTTTATTTAAGAGCAGCAAAAAAAAAACAGAAGCACTTGACAAGAACACATCAGATATTATCCAGTGCGACAAAAGTCACAGACATAATCATCCTTATCAGCCCCTGCATAATCGACATGACACCACATATTGCATATTAAACATTGAACCTACAGTTCTCCTTTGCGGTCTTCGGAAAATCTGCTTTCACAAAAGATGCATTTAGCATCTAAATCATCTGGTTCCTTTTGTCCAGGCATATCATCCATATCTAAGTCATCATCTGCTAACACCAGCTCTGTTTCGTCGTCATCACTTTCAGATTCTCCTAAAGATCGCTGCTTTTTATTCTCCTTTGAAGTTATGGACGATGTATTTTTGGTTGATTGAGAAAACACCTTTTTCTTAACAGATTTAATCTCGTGTTTAGTTTTATTGGCAATGCTCAACAATAATTCGTCTTTGTAAGGGGACGAAGTAATTACCGCTGCTTGTGATGCTTTTCTACCCCTATTAGTTGTTTTCTTTTTTAAGGTCGGAACTGGTGAAATATCAAAGGGGGTCACAATTTTTTTTGGATTCCAGATGGTCCAGGTTGAGCGCAGTCGCGATTGAGTAGCTCTATATCTGATTGAAATTTACCACATGGCCCAGGTGGAACGTTGTCTAGACTAGGAGGCTCTAGATCTGATTGAGATGTGCCTGGTGTACTCTCAGCGAAGTCATTTTCAGCGGTACAGTGTTCTTTTCCTTTTTCTATTTCGGCTGCAAGAAAGTCCACTTCTGAAAAAATATTCTTCTTAAGCGGAAAAATTCCAGTAACGCGGAACCCGTTTACGGCGATTTCTCCAGTCTGACTTTTGAGATAAGCCTTTCCCAAAAGTTCGCCAATATCATATTGGGTTAAGGGACGATGATTATGACGAATTCATTGTCTAATCTCCTCACTGTAGTAAGATTTTAATGTACCCATGAAAGTTTTGTCAAGAGGTTGCAATTTATGTGTTGAATGAGGGGGTAACGAGATTATGCAAACATGATTTTGTCTCGCCATAATAACAACCTCTAGATTACGGGTATGACTATAGTGTCCATCTAAAATTAGAAGAATAGGCGAACATGCAGTCGGTTTTACCGTATTAATGAAATGTTTGAACCACTGGGCGAATAACGCAGCCTGAACCCATCCACTTGGTTGAACAGCTGATATTGATCCTGTAGAAGTGCCTTTCATTAGTTGCACATTCATATTTTTTCTAGGAAATATGAGCATTGGTGGAACGAAGTATCCCCCTGCATTCATGCAGGTTATCAAAGTGACTAATGATGTTAAAGATGCAATTTGCCCTTCCGACCAACCACTTCAGCCACTTTATTTTGCACAACAGTTAGATCAGTCTCATCTACATTAAAGACGCGATTAGCTGGGAAGCTGTGGTCTTCATATGCTTTCTCCAAAAGTGTAAAGAAGTTGTCCACACTCTCTTTGTTGAACCCTCTGGCGCGAGCAAATCATGTCCCAGTAGGTTTTCTAACTGACAAAAGTTTGTGCCTTTGCAGAAATAGATCTAACCAGCCCCTTCTTGCTGTTTGTGTGTTCCCAAAAGGATGCCTTATGCCGTTTTTTTCTGCCAAGTAAAATGCCATACGTTTAACGTCTTTGCGGGTGAAACCATAAAACTTGGATTCCATTACAAGGATATAGCGAACTAATGGTTCTTCCAATTCTGGAGTCAAAACTGTACCTCGCCCTAATTTGATCTGAACAGCCTCCTCTACGCTAAGATGGTCCATTTTGGCCAATCGCTGAACTGTAGTCCTTGAAACGCCAAAAGTTTTAGCTGCCTTTAGAGCTCCCATCTTTTTTTCTCTTACCGCTCGAACAGCCCTTTTCATATGGTCTACATCCCATGTCTTCCGTTTCTTGGCGCTCAACTTGCGACTTACAATAACTTTTCTGCGTGGCATTCTAAGAAAAGTTCTCGGTTTCTATTATTGCTACAAATATGGGCTAGCCCATATTACAAACTTAATACCAGCCCATATTGCACATAACCTCCAAAAAGTTTGAAACTCCACAAATATTTTATATCTTGTATCTGAATATAATTAAAGACAAAATCTAAAAATATGAACCTTATTTTCAATTGTGATCTATAAAAATCAAGTTAAATACTAAAACCTACTTAGTTACAGAGACAAATAACCACCACTGCAAAATTTATAAACACTGTAAAAGACCAAATCACACGAAACTGAATTGTGTATGTGAAAAGAAGAATTCTGTAATCAACAGGCGGTCACGTGCACTAAAGCGCATATAATTGTTACATTACTCGATAGATGACTCTAGGTGCATCGGAAATATCAACGCAGCCCATATTCCCTACGTAGCCCATATTTATACCCCCTCCTCTATCTTACCAGCCAATAAACATGGTTTCTTGCTAGGTCGCTCTATCATCACAATGTTTCTCAAATGTGTAATCGATTGGACTAATATGATGGATATCAACCTGCCTGTAGATGTAATATACCTGGATTATTCAAGAGCGTTCGATCGAGTACCACATACACACCTTCTCTGCAAGCTGGACCACCTAGGAATAACTGGAGTCCTGTTGAAGCGGATAAGGGCTTTCCTCAGTTACATAAAGTTCACAGTGAGGATAAGTGACTCACTGCCAACCAGTAGGGAAGTGGTATATATATATATACAGGGTGACTTCGAAGTTGAGTCATTTATTTTAACAGTGAGTAGATCTGATCAAAACAAATGTTTTTTTCCTTCAACATTTTTCAGGTAAATTTAAAATAGCAAAGTTATAGCCCTTTAGAAGTTTGACTACCGCCCTGTCTCAATAATAATATTATGTGCTCGTGTTTGGCAACAACGGATATAATCCGCCTTATCGGTTCATCGCATCGGAAACAAAAAAGCGAAAGAATTTGAAACGCTTATCACGATGTTTTTACTACAATTTTATTCAGTTGTATTCAGTCAATGTGTCAGTCGGTAACGCGTGAGTGAATAGCGGTGTTTGTTGCTTGGCTCAAACGAAATAAAAAATGGCACATGTTTACGAAAATGCTGAACTTGTGGACATGATTCTTATTTACGGGGGGGAGTCTTTACAAAATGCTGCGGCGGCATCACGGATTTATGCGGATCGGTTTCCCAATCGAGTGCAACCAACCCCTCGTGCCTTTGTTAATGACCAAACAGGGGAGGGCATGCCGGTGCTCCAAGACCGCACGATCAAATACAGGTCCACACTGAAATACTTGTCGGGAGGATACTTTATAAAACAAGGTAACATTTTTTTATTTTTTTTTATTTTTACACACATATTTTGGTTTATCTTCCTTCTACAATCATTATCTGAAAATTAATGACTCAACTTCAAAGTCACCCTGTACATATATATATATATATATATATATATATATAACTAGCTGCGTGCCCCAGGATTCCAGCTTGAGACCTTTGCAGTTTCTCCTATAATCATCGGACCTGTCTTATATCTTCCACCTGCTGCTTGAATGCTGACGACACATAACATCCTTCAACGTGACCTTGACAACGTTTACGAGTGGTCCAGAAAATCGCTGCAGCCCCTCAACTTGGAGAAGTGGTTTATTCTACAAGTTGGAAAAACAATCATAGACAGTCACATAGATTTAAGAGCTATTGTATTGGATAGTCTATCATGGTCCGAGAATATCCAATATTGAACGACTAAAGCCAAAAGAAATCTATATCTTAATGAAAGATCCTTTGAGGGCTGTAACAGTTCTACTGATAGGCTCCTGTACACATCATATGTTAGGCCAATTATGGAATTTGCTGGACCTGCTTGGAATTCAACGCTACAATGTGACCAAGACCTGTTGAAAAATATTTAGAAGAGGGCTACACGTACGGTATCCAACGACCTTGATATGAGGAGAGGCTGGTACCTATTCAACCTAACTCACTTGTCCAACAGACGCTCCCGAGGGGACTTATTAATCACGTACAGAACTTTGCATAGCTTCTTCGGCACTGCCCTATCCTCACCTTTCGGTCTCAAAGTCAACCACCTGCAAGGCCACAACTATAAACTAATGAAAGAGGATTTTTTAAGTCTAACCGAGTATTTGACACCTGGAACAGGCTGCCCTATGGCGTTATTGATGAATCCACAGTTAACAGGTTTAAGATTTGTTTCAACAGATGGGTGCATATGATCTTTTATTTCAATGTTTAATTTCTTATCTCTGTTTGGAGTTCATAGCTTTTGCTCAACTCCTCTATTATGTATGATAATAATAAGTATCCAATGGCATGAAAATCTTAGCGTCTTGTGTACTTCACTCCTCATTATAGGGGAGCCCAATAGAGGGTTTTGTTTATTTACTCCAACCTTGCAGATTAAGATAAGGAGGGATGCCTTGCATCCTTTGTAGTACCTCCACCATATTTAAACCTTTTATATAGGGGGTCTTGCCTTCAATTTGATTGCTCCACTCATGGCTAACAATCCCTAATCTGACTATGTAGTTCTGCGCAAATAGGCAGCAAATCCGACTGACTCCACCTACAAATTGTTTTTCAAAACTGATACATCCTCAGCGCATTACGCTGAAAATGACAGAAATAGCCTGGCTTATACTTGTAAATTCTACTGTACAGATAAATCTCACCCACCAATAGACGAAACATCATAAGAGCGAATTTAGAGGAAGGTGCCTCCCCTAGACACCCAGGTCTGCCATTTTTTCCAAGAAGATGGTACATTTTCCTGTATCTGGTAGTGAAAATTACCTTGCTAGATCGTAATCGTGTGCTACCCCTCTCCCCCGAAGACGTTTCCCTCCGGTCTTCAGTTGTCTCTGCTTAAGGATGCATCGGCTGATACACCAAAAAAGTATAACGTGTTACTTTATTTGTATGATTATTTTCTAGTAGTGAAACATATTACTATAAAAAACTTCGCTGGTAATAACCTGAGCTAGAACATACGAGAAAATAGTTTGGCTCTTCGTAAAGTTCAAAAAGTTCGAGCATAGAATTATCTCTGAATTGTCGAAAGCCGCGAAAATCGTATGAGTTTCCACAGTAACTTCATATATGGCGCTTTTGTTAATTGCTCATCCAGATGAAGGCATCCTAAAGTACGTAGTAGGTGTACCGGAATACAATGATATTGCCTACTGTAGGAAATGTTATAATTTTTAGAATGAAGATCATCCAGGCACTAACGGCTTAATGGGAACGCCATACCAAAAGTATTTACTGTGGTCCGTACTATTAATATTTACTTATGATTCTATTTAGGCTAGGCATGGTTATTAAATACCACGTCCCATGCTACAGTATATTCAGATAAGAGATAGACTGGACATAAACAAGACCACGTGATCATCGAACGCTGTAACATTCGGCAGGGACGTATTAAGGGTCACGCAGTACATATTTTAGATAGTAGATGCTGCTTTGCGTAACTTTGTAGTAAATTAGCACAATTCGATGTGTATACGATTGGTGATGGATATAGGATCATGTGGGGGTGGGGTAAGAAATATATAATGATGTAAATATACATAAGGGTTTCAAAATTTTCGCTTAGATTTCCAGATTCGGATGCCGCCTGATGTTTGGTGAAATACAGTCGAATATAATCTCAAAATGGCGTTTAATTAGCCTAAATTAAAAATAATCGTATATCTCTTAAAATTGCTTTTAGAATATTGATTAGTATATTTTTTGATTTCTAGGTAAATATGTAACCAAATTAAAACGTTCAAAACGTAAAAAAATGTGCATGGTTGAACATTGTCAGAAAGTAGATTCTTGAATAGGTTTTGCCAAAATGGGTTCAAAAATGTCAATAATTAATTAAAAAATACAGTAGCTTTATAATTACTTATAACTTACCGAATTTGATGAACGACATCTTTTATTGGAAAGATGAGCTTGATGAGCTTTCATCATCGCTACTGCCTGAAGCACCAACGTCAATAATGAATGGCTCGACTTGTTCCTCTAAAATATTGTCCAGTTCCCACATTCTCTTTTCAACTTTGTCTTTCACGTGCTTAATACAGTTTTCCCATTTTTGCGCTGTTATTAATTCTAGTGCTTCTTTGAAAAGTCCTTTGAGGTCACAAAATTTAAAAGTTGTATTGTGCTTAGCTATATAATTTTTAACCTCTGCCCATATGAGCTCAATGGGATTGAGCTCACAATGGTATGGAGGTAAACGGTTTTATTTTGTTTTATTTTGACTTGCTGCCATTTCGTCAATGGCGTATTTTTGATATTCCGCCTTGTGATCCTTGACAATTCTTAATAATTGTACTTTCAGCATTTCTTCTTCAAAGTTGATATTTTTCGAGCGGAGCCAATTTTGAACATCAACTTTCCTTGAAGCCGTTGTTGGGACCTTCTCCATTTTTCGAGAATGATAAGGCGCATTATCCAACACAATTACTGCGTTTTCCTCTAAGTTCGGTAAAATTTTTGAAAACCACTGTTCAAACGATTCGCCATTCATTTCCTCGTGGTAATCTCCAGTTTTCTTAGACTCAAAGCACCACAGACCGTCAACAACAAATCCATCCTCACTGCCAATATGGCAGATAATGAGCCTTTTCCCTTTACCTGGAAATCGAAGTACTAACTGGTGTAGATTTATTTCAATAAGCGAACCTTTTTCAAATGTTTTCATCACATTCAGCGAAAAAACATTGAGACATGAGTATCAGATTGCTATAATTGGGATTATTTAGTCATATTGAAAGAAAGAATATTGAACGTCGTATGATTACTCACCGCTTCACAATTTAATTTAAAGTTATAAACCTTTAAAAAATGAATGATCAGGAACCTGAAATACGCGCAAATATTAATATTAACAAACTATAACTTTATAAAGCTTAAAGTATGAATTAAAATGATTAGAAATATTAGAAACGGTACACAA